GAAATACTGATCTTACACCGACAACATGCTTTATACTACTCAGACACTCCCCCCCATCACGTCTAACTGCATATCTGCGCATATGCTACCGTACATCACCTTACTTAATCTCTTGATTGGTCTTTCTGTCCGCTCTGCCTCTTCGTTCAGCTGATATGCTAATTTTTCGACTTCGTCCTTAATTTTTGCACACCAGTGTATATGGATGAAAATGCAATACGTTGAAAAGTACGACTCCACGGAGAACGCGCGCTCCTTTCTCGTTCACTGCATGATCGGTAGTAAACCCACATGACATAGAACTTTAGATGCTGCTGCTCTTTTCAATGAGCGCCACCCTACACTTCTCGGAATAGAAATGTCGCTAGATGGCGCGCGTTTCAAATAAGGAAGTTTCCCTGCCGCACCCGTACAGTAAGAAAACGAAATTAGTGCAGTAACTAAGTCAGGAATAATTTTCTCGGATCTTTCCAAAATTTAACTTTTATTCATAGGAGATTTTAGGCATACGGGGGACTATTTTGAAACATTGTAAGACTGCTTCTACTTCTCCTCCTGAAAGTACACTTGTCAACCATATATTGGTTCTCGTCGAGATTATATTACTGACATGAATTTCGTCTTCAGTATTTGGTACAAAGAGTGGAAGCATTTTTATTTCCTTTTGTACGAAGTAAAGGAAGTATTGTAATCGCGAAAAATTTAGAACATTATGTTTCAACGATATCCATTTCAGCCTCTCTCAAAACCATCTGAACGATGTTTTTGCGTTACATATGTACATACGGGCAGAATAAAAGCTGCTGTTTTCCCCAAAAAAGGATTGTTGTTGTTGTTGTCGTGTCCATATTACATGAAACAATGGTTGCCAGAGCCTACTCCAAAGAGAGGTGCCAAAAAGGATTGTAAACTGCATTTAAAATAAATTCAGAAGAGATTTTTTCTTGACGTCCGCACCATATCTGTATCTCGCATAAATTTAGAACGAGTAGCCGTAGAACTTTGAAATTTTGTATATGGGACTGCTATAACATGTAGTTGTGCACCTCTTGTTTTCGTTGCAATCGGCTATTCCCAGTCTGTTACCTCGCTCGATGAACTTAGTTTTTTTCCCTATTCCCAGTCTGTTACCTCGCTCGATGAACTTAGTTTTTTTCCCTTCTTATAAGTGGGAACAAATAAGTGGGAACAAATAACACTTCTTATAAGTGGGTTCTTATATGTGGAAACAAATTGTACACTTTTTGTTTAAAAGTGATTGAATTATGCGGTTTTTATGTTCCGAATGCTTTTTATATGCCTTTAGTTAACCCGAATTATAAACAATCTTTAAGTTTAAATGGCGAGTTAAGCCTAACGAACCGTTATTTATTTACATTTGAAACTCGGTAGAATAATGAATTAAGTCAGTTTCTGCACCTTCGATGTCTTTTCCCCTTTTCCCCGAGTGGAACGAAAAGTAAACTTTCAGTTTTGTTCACCGAAAAATCTGCTTTCTTGTTCGCTGGACGAATTGCTTGTTTTTGTGTAGAAGCTCTAATTTTTAATAGTAAAAACTGTTTTTTTAACTGTTTTAATGGCATTTTTACAATTTTCAATAAAGAGATTTTGAGTTTTTATGTATTTCTACTTTGACGCGAAGTGAGAACAGAATTAATTGAATGAGAAATATATCTCTAATGAAATTCGAGGAAATAAGTTTATGAAATGCAACAAAAAATATGTATTATTTCATAAGGTAGTACGAAGAAGTCATGTGGTGTCCACATCAGATTTTTTTTATTTTATTGTATCATTTCTTGAATAAAACTAATCTTAGGTGATATTAAAAGCTTAAATTTCGAGGTTAATAGGTATTCTTAAAAGCTTAAAAGGTATTATTAAAAGCTAGAGGTTAGTAGATATTATTAAAAGCTAGAGGTTAGTAGATATTATTAAAAGCTCGAGGTATTATTAAAAGCTTAAATTTAGTAGAGGGAAAAGGACAGGAAGGAAATTTGGAAAGTTACAGCCTGTTAAACTTCCACTTCTAGGATATGTATATATCCTTGTTTAACAAGGCCTCACTTCCCTATAATCGCTTGTTTACCAGTTTAAGATAATAAAACTACCCCTTCTTATTTTATATGATTTATTTTCGTAAGGTTTTATGTATTAGCCATTGTCTTGGAAAGCGTGATGCTACATTTCTAAAAACGTGAAATGTGCTTAATGTATGAAATATGCATAGAATTATATAAATGTGATTAATTTTTGAACAGTTTAATGTATTCTTTAAGTAGGTTCTTGAGTATTGTAGTTTATGTTCTGCATGTAATATAGATTATCCAGCTTTTGTTATAGTTTGAACTGTGTAACTGTAGTATTACGTAAAATTTATGGATGCTGAGCTTCGAATATGGAACTTAAAATAGTTTTGTGCAGTAAAAAATGGTAAGTAATATGGGTATAAAATGTCATTAATTCGTTGTAATAGTTTGCGTATGAAAAATATAAACTTCTATTTTCGGAAAAAATACCAGAAATATATCAAATCATGTAATAAATCTGGTCTTCAAGTTCGACTGAAGTGATATAACTTCGGATATAACTTTACGTAAGAATATCTAAAATTTTCAATTTAAATTCAGATTTTAAAAATAGTTTTCTATTTTTGATACTATTTTACTGCACTAAGTATTCTAGCTCTTATGAAATATCATTGTTATTCACAAGTTTACATGAAAGATGAAAAATATTTGATTTTTTCCTTAAAATTTTTAGTGTCATTCAATAAGCACCTGCAATTAAATTCGTATGGAACTCTCTAATTAATGTGAAATTATAGATATTCTTTGAAAAAGATTGGGCTATGTTCTTAGAATCTACACGAAATAGCGAAATTTTTGGTATGAAACAATGAAAATCTTGCATGAAGTTCGGTATATGTTCACTCTCATTATTGAAAATCTCTTCCTAAATTCTGAAATAGTGATGTTTTTACTCTTATTATTTTCAAAATTTGGCGCTTCATGAATTAAATAACTGTATAGATGTACTAAACTTTATCGAAAACTCAAATATTTTGTTAATTGGTTGGTTTTATTTAAATGGTTTAGAAGTAAATGAGCGGTATGTTAGGCAGTTTCTTCAGAAATATATCCGTATCTGAAAACTCTGTAGATAATTTGCCTTACTGAAATTGTTCTAATTTTTAAAAAATATATGGTTATATGATGCTATGTTATCATCGAGTGTCTTTGTCTTTCTCTTTGCAAACAGTGTATAAGCGTTATAATCGGAATCGTTTGAAGTCGCTGGTTCTATCTACTATACTTAAAAAGAACTTTACAACAACAACAACCATTTTATTTTTGTGGACTGTAACATAGCTAAAAATCTTAATCGAAAATGATAATAAATCCCGACCATGCAGGATCAAAACATGTATGCTACGTTAGGAGTTCGAATCTTAACTAACTAAAATTGCGCAGAAACAATGCGCTGTACATACTTGAAATGCGCAGCAACAATGCTCTTACGTAATTTATATTGCTGCGTAGGAAGCAACATACGCCCCACGTTGCAATATCTATGATATGCAAACTAAATCTTAGCATACAATTCAATATCAATGCTACACTTCAGCTATTCATTTTTTAAGCAATAATAAAGACTAAAGTTAGTAAATCATTACAGAATGAAATAAACAACTTCAGAAAATTCCATAAAGTTTGAACATTTGCAATTTTTTTTCAATAATTATAGTAAGTTTATCAACATTTCAAACAGCAAAAAAAAAAAAAAAAAAAAAAAAAAAAAAAAAAAATCACATTTTTTCATCAAATTCCCAAATATAAGTATAATAAAGAACAATGTATATTTTTTATTAACAGTAAAGCTTAATGGCCAGATATTTGCGTTGTCTGGTGGTTTGGTAAGAATATCAGAGATTTATGACAATGTTCCTGTTTCAATAGAATTGACTACATAATCGTATTTGTTTGATCGGCTGTAATTCCAGCATTGCGGAATTGGGCTCAATCTGAAGAAACCATATTTTGGGGTCAGGTTTCCAAAAAGGAGGAATTTTGATGCTGACCTTGGCGACAGTCGCAGATGTTGCATTAATTCCGGTTTGTTTACTTTCACCTCCTTCAGCCATAGTACAATTAGGCTTAATGGAAGTAAAGCTACCTTTATACATTTTTTTTATTTTTTATAGCTTAAGTTTTTCCGGCTAAAGTTTGCGTAGTAAAAACTAGTCCATTTATTCTTAACACATCTGATGCATTTTGAAAATTCTAATTGGATACATTACCGCTGAAGACATATTACAATATAGAACAAAATTAAAAATTTTTAAAGTTGACTTACCATTTCAGAAGTATTTCAGTCCCACATACGCTCGGAATTTATATTTCACAGACGCATAAAAACAATCGAACCATCAATTCTTGATGTAATCCATGCGCATCAGAAGCATTTCGAAATTCGCAGTCAGAAGACAGCGAATTTTCTAGCAAATTCAGATATTCAGATTTGTAACTAATGTGTACTAGGATTAAATAATAATACTATGTTTTTTAAATGTTCAACATTTGATATAATATCTGTCATCGAAGTGTTTGTAAATCATTTTGAACTCTTATATAAATCAACTGCCAGTATTCCGTGGCAGAAAATTTGCTAAAATTTCTCGATTTATACACGGACATATACGATAGTTGTTTAAGCTGAATAATCTGTGTAACAGATTCTGAAATTTCTTTTTAAAATATTTAGAACATTTAAAATATCAGATTGACTGTAAAAGCCATTATTATTACTTTCAGAAATATTGTTATATTTTTAATGCACACAGATTTCTAATAAAAGAAATCTGTAATTTTAATTCCATTTTACAAGTACAGTGTCTAAGAAGATATCTGTGACGATCTATCATATGCTAATTTTCCCTACGCGATAATTCGTAGAAGCTATTCGTGAATTCGTTTTGTACAAAATTTGTTCATTGTGAGCATGCGTCTTCTCGATGGTGACAATTGTTAAAGTATTAACTACATTCCATCAATTTTGGAATTATTAAAATATATTATTTTGGATGTGAATAGATTTGAGTTTCTTGTAAGTACACTTAGAAATGTTGAGAAGTTGGAAAGTCATCAGACTGACAAAATATGTTTTCCTGACTTTGTTGATTACCGCTGCTAGTTTCATGATAGCCGATCTATTTGTAAGGAGACCTGTGTCGATAATAGCGGGACAAGTAAGTAAAGATTTTAAGATTATTTCAATATTAAAAGAACTTGCAAAAATTTCTGTATACAAAAATTAGACCTACGGAAACTGTTTTATATATTGCCCCTATAAAACCAGTAAGACTAAAGTAAGAGTATTTAATTTTGTTTACGAATAACTAAAGTTTTAATTTATGAAATGATAGCTCATAAGTGGCGTATACTACAGCTAAATGATGATAGCTCTGGTATGTTTTAGAATCTGTGAAACATATTCACCTGTAAGGTGAAATCATCTTTATTCAACTTACGAAATAGTTCAGTAAAATATTTTGGTATTTAGTACTTTTCCATCGAATATGAAAGTTCACAGAAATCCCGCCAAAGTTTTACAAAATCATTTCGGGAGATGAATGAAGGAAAAGATCACATTTTAATTAGTTTTATATAATCAACAGACGTAGGTTAATGCTGTTTGTCGTAAATCACACTGTCTAGCGGATATTCGCTTATCATAAATTTTTGCCGTATTTAAGTTATTATCAACTAAAATGGAATATAGGTCAGAATGATCCACCCCTTTTTAACTTCCTTACACGAAGTAAAGGAAGTATTTTAATCACGAAAAATTTCGGGTATCTTATTTCAACAAAAATATCCATTTTGACCGCTATCGATTCCATTTGAACGATATTTTTGCGTTACATTTGTACGTAAGGACAGAATAAAGAACTCTTTTTTTTTTTTTTTTTTTTTTTTTCCAAAACGGATCGTAAAATGGATTAAGAAGAGATTTTTCGTGACGTCTGCATAACTCAAAAATGAGTAGCCTCCGAACGTTGAAATTTTGCATATGGTACTGCTATTGTAGATGTGCCCTTCCCTTTTTAGTTCTAATCAGCCGTACCGAAAGTAGATAAATATATATATATATACATACCCTCGCGGTTACCCGGCTCGGTGAACTAAGTTTTTTTATTCTTATATATTAATAAATTGAGTAATTTTTGCTTTAAAAGTGATTGAATTGCATTGCTTTTATGTTCCAGTTAAGGTTTTTGTGCCTTTAGTTAATCTGCATGCAACTGTTGAGAATTATCAACAATTTAAAAGTTGTTTAAGTTCCACTGAGCCAAACGACGCCGCCATTTATTTACATTTGAAACTTGGTAGCTTAGTGAATTAAGTCAGTTTCTGCACCAACTTTTAGTGTTTTTTTGCCGAGTGGGACAGAATTTATGTTCTGAAAAATCTTTCTACCTGATTTTAATTCATTTAAACTCTAATTTTAATTGTAAAAATTGTTTTTTAACGGTTTTTAACTCTATTTGGTGTTTTACGTTTCTCTGCATTTTACAATTTATAATGGAGATGTTTTGAGTTTTTATGTATGTTTTCCTTGCCGCAAAGTGAGAACTGAATTGATTGAACGAGGAATATATCTGTAATGAAATTCGGGGGAAATAAGTCTACATGAAATGCAGCAAAAAATGATCATAAATTAAAATGCCATACAAGAAAGTTATGGGGTGTCCACATCAGATTTTTTAATGCCAGAATCTTGTAACTCTGAACATATTTCAATGCATGCTGTTCTGTAAATGAAAGGTTTTAAAAATGAGAGGGTAAACAGCTTTCACAGTTAATTTGTTGCGTAAATAAACTGGCCTGTCGAGGAATAATCGGAGTTGCGTAAGATCTTAGGATTGAGTTGCGACGTCTTTATACATTACTGGTTTAAAATCACACTATTTGGCAACAATTTTTGCTTATCAAAAATTGACGGAAAATACATACACATCGACATTTTTCAATATGGGGCAGTTAACACTCCTCTGTTTTATTGTTAAGACCATCTTCACCATTTCTTTTAAGAAAGCACATTTTTCACATGAATTTTTACCTGCTTTTTATTGTCTACCCGTACGTACTTCTCGATGAAATAACCCCCTAAATACTTTACTTTCGAAGAATAACTAGCACATTCTTCTCAGATTTACTTATGAATATTTTGAAATAATCTTAAGTTTGTTGCAAATTTACTTACTTTACACAGAACACATACACATAGTTTCAGGTAAAATGACTGAGTAACAAGGGCGGATGTGGCTATCGGGGAAATTTTTCAAAATGCTGATAGCCATGGGTTTGCTTTGTCATCGGATGTCGATGGTTTTAAAACAGATGAAACATTAACTACAGTTGCAAGATGCATATAAATTAATTAATAAATGAAAGACAAGTTCATTGAAAGATAAAGATTTAGAGACCCTACCATAAAAATCCAAAGGAACTAATTGCAAACTTATTAAAATCACCATCTTAACCCCGTCGTTCTTAGATAGTTACAAATTAATAACTGCTGATATCTTTTCCTTCATTTAATTAAAGTGGAGAATTTTCATAACTGACCTCCGCAACGGTTTCGTAACGATGCGAGCACCCTTAAACAACTCGGCAAGTATGTATTAAATTAAAGTCACGTTAATAACTTTCACATGAATGTCCGTTGCGTTTTTGATGAAATGAACAGAACTCCACAAGAATGCTGGCACCTTTATCGCTTTATACGGTATGATTAATTTCGTCGTTGTGAACTGCACCGAATACATAAAAAAGTTCCGGCACTTCCGCACGAGGGGCCACGCCGTGAAGAACAACCGGATCCGTTCCTGTTGAGCAGTAATTTGATCTCCTAATACTTGTATCAAAATGGTTCTTTAAAGAATTTGAAATTTGCCGAGTCTAACTCTATCTTCAAAAATAATCCTACGATTGTCCGTATTGACAGCTAGGCGATATGATGAAAGCAACAGATCACAAGTCTTAATTCACGCTATGAGAACTTTTAAAGAAAATATTTTAACGTACATATAATTTACTACAAATTATTACAGTTTACTTAAAAGTACATATTAAAAACTTGCTTTGCAATAAAACTGAAATAATTTGCTTTTGCTGATACTTTAAATCAAAATATTACATAGTTTTTTCTTTTAATTTCTTATGACTTATAACTAACGTTAAAGTACTAAAGCTGCAAGATATAGAAATCTTTACGCTAAAATTTAATTTTACATGTTGATTGGCATGTTTCATATCTGAGTAATCTAATATTCAGTAGTACGAGAAAGTATATATTCTTGACGAAAAGCTCGCGTCAGTACCCGATGTGAAATATCGAGTATTAATTAAGTATAACACTATTTTGGAGGGGATCTGAACTCTGAAATTTTATAAATGAAAACAATTTTATGGTAAGCACGCGAAAGTGGTGTTTTTGCCTAATAGAAGGGCTACCTTCCTGGTGGAGTTTCTAAAGCAACTGGTTTGTAGTTTAATTTTACGTTGGGGGGGGGGGAGACACGAAAAGTATCATACAGCTAACTTGTTGGCAGGGACTCTATTCCGAATCGAACTACTAATATTATCTCATCCACCATACCGCTATTATGCTGGCAAATTTTTACTGCCAGTAAAGCGAAATAGCATGCTTTAAAATTCTGCCGAACTTTTTATAAATTGGTTGAAAATTAGTTTTAATATGTGTTTTTAAAATAAACCTTTAATTTTTTAACTGGGTGAACAGAGGTGATTTTCATCTGAGGACGAAATTTTTTCAATCTCAGTGTTTATAAATATCAGAAAAATTTTTTAAGATTTCCTTAAAAAAATACTGGACATAAATTCCATAAGAATTTCTTAAGAAAATACTGGACCTCTACGTCTCTTTTAAGATAAATTTCTAGTTTCCCCCATAATTATTTTGTTTTGTATAATTCTAGTAACGATTAAAAAATACGGAAAAGCATGCCCAAAATTATTTCACAAAATGAAAGGCAATCTTAATGTTTTTAACATCAAACAAAGTTGTGCAGTATTTTTTGCCGAAAGTATAACCGAAGTTGTGTTTCGGAAATCTGTATTTCCTGAAAATTTTATTTCTTTTTTCTTCATTTAATGGAAAATCTGTTGAAATTCAATATCTGAAGGAATTGATTAAACTTAAGAGCAGATTTCATAATACTTTTTAATTGGTTAATTTCAGTTTCAGATCATTATCACCTCTGCTCATCTATTTGAAAAATTAAACGTTTGTTTTAAAACATATATTAAACGAATTTTAAATTAAATTACAGATGCGACTAAAATTGCAGGAAATTGTTACAGGGCTGCCATAGGCTAAATTCATCATTAAAGGGAAAGCATTTTCAAGGCTAATCTTTATTCTACGGCAGGGTTTCTTAAACCTTTTTTCAGTGGCGACCCCTTTTTATCACAGATTTTTTCGCAACCCCCAGGACCCCATAATATTTACAAAAATTTTCTCGACTCCATAAGCATTGCGCAAATCCGACACACGCGTGGGTGAAACTATCAATTTTTTCACTTGTACTGTAATATACTACTGCAGTTTTAGTATTAACTTTAAATTATATTTTAAGACCGTAGAACATGTGAAATTTGTAAATATTAACAGACGACATGATCAGCGTAACGTGAAAGCAAGGGCAAACGACTTTTTCGTTTTTTTTATATTACGTCTGTTTTACTGTCTTTAGTATTATCTTGGAAAATAAGTGTTAAAGAAAAAATATTCGAAACTGTTAAAATTTTTGGACACCGCCGGGCTGGTCCCGCGACCCCCAGTTTAACACGTGAGCGCGGAGCTGCTTTTGCTGTCCTTCGGTTCTGCGTCAGCAGCGAGTAAAGCCGTAAAATAAGCCGTTATTTTGTTTAGAATGTTCAAGCATTTAATTAAAACAAATTTGATCCATTTCATGAGACTAATTTATTTTTTAACTTATACTGTCGGTCTTGCGGACAGACGCCAGACAAACCAGACACAAACCATCATAGTCATTGTTCAAGCTGCTGTCCCCAGGGACTAGCCGGCCCACACGGAAAGTTCACTGCCAGCGCATGCGTGTAAAAAACCCGGTTTACGGGAGCCCTTGGGAGGGGGGGGGGGGGGGGGGAGGGGGGGGAAAAAAGCCAAGGGGTATGTTGTGTTCGCCAACTGTTTGATAATAGCAAAAACTATGGTTACCGTGACAGTTTTAATTTTGTTTTAACTTCTGTTTTTAAGTGAAAAATAGATCGATGTGCACATGAAAAAGTGAACGCTGCGACAATTCTCTGATTTTTTTCAAGTGAATGAAATAGGTGATGTGGACTGGACACCGACTTGTAGTCTTTGACTTCTATTTTGTTTTCTGCGGAGCGGCCATCTTGAATTGGCCTCCTGGCGCCCGTCTTTGGTCAAAAAAGAAAAACGATTCAGCCTAGGGAGGTACGCTCATAGATAAATTTTTACCGAATTTCAAAATTAAGAAACTTCCATAAAATTCTTTATGAAATTTAAATGTTTCACTTAATCCTCTAGAGGCAAGCCGTATTATATACGGTCTAGAATACTTTGCGACATCTGTAAGACGAATATATACGTGATATTTAATATTCAAAGAAATTAAGGCAATATATCAAAAGTATAAATCCAGGTATGAAATACCAGGAGAGTTTTTACATTAAAATCAAAAAAATAATTTGTTCTTGTAATAGTTTTGGGAAATTTGTTTTTTCTTACCGAAAACCCTGGCCGCTCATAGTTTAAAATTTTTATTTTAAAATTTAAGAAAAAATAAGCTAGAGACTGATTTTATCGAAACTCCATGTGCATATCTAGGGAGCCAAGAATAAATAACATAAATTTCCTGAAATACATAGTTTTCCGGTGAGAGCGTAGTTTAAAGAGAATTTTCGATTTTAAATTTGATATTGGCATATGTTTTTTACCTTCATTTTCCTTTTAGGCAACAGATGAACTGGCTTACAAGCCCAAACTCAACTTGTCGTTTGAAAGTGTTCTGCCAATGCTAGATGAGAATTTTTCCCAATGTTTGACAAATCCCGGTAAGGGCTTCTGCTTAATGACTGCGAAAAAGAAGCTTGAACTTCTTCACAAAGAAGGACATCCAGTTTTGCCTTATTTAATGGAGATTGACAAACATTTGATCAAGGTAGGTTTTAATTTTCTATTTTATACAAAATTTAAGATGTATTTGAGAGTTATAGTACGCTATGCTTAATAGTTAGTTTTCCTTTAATCAATCAGAATTTGAGAAAAGCGAACTAAGAGTACTGCTATTATGCGCTTTTATTTCATTCTTTTAAACAATAAATTCGGATGGCTTAAAGATATTAATTGTATTAAATTTTAACGTAGCGTGTATCTCTTCCAATTTGCTATTGAGTAGTTTATTCTTTTTCGAAATATAATTTATTGAAAAACTGTTAAATGTCTAGGATTTTAACTTTAAGTTTTGGAAAGAATTGAACCCCAAAGAAATTTCGAAGTAAATTCCACTTAAGTAGCGGTATTTTTAATTCATCGAAATAGATAACTGCTTGTCCAAAAAAAAAAAAAAAAAAAAAAAAAAAAAAAAAAAAAAGGAAAAAAAAAAAAAAAAAAAAAAAAAAAAAAAAAAAGCAGTGAAACCTCGTTGTTTACCTGTTGTAACGTTGTAAAGTTGACTTATCGCTAGATAAGTGATTATAACGAGTAATGCGAGTATCGAGTTATCGAGACAGTGCTAAAATAAAAAGTTCCATTAATTTAATTTCTAATAAAAACCCAGTTTTTAGGGGGGGGGTTATTAAGAGACTATAATTACGTTAAAGTAATTATTGATTTAGTACTTGCCGAGACGCAAGAATATGTCTGAACTTTTTTATAATGAAGATTATTTTCGTTTACCTAGCTCCACCAGCAGCTGCGTGGTTAAGAAAGAATATTTGGAATTCGACCTGAGTTCAATCTCAGGCGAACGGGCCGGCTGCTTGATTGGTTTTCGTGGCTTTTCTTATGTGTAATATGAATATGAACCAATTTCTCTTAACTGCTCCACAAAGGCATTCGTTTTCTTAGGCAGATAGCCCTAGTGTGTTTTACTATATTCAAATAATCTGACTATTTACGTTTAAAAGGCATGAAAAGACATTTGAGACATTTTTGTTACAGAGCAACACACTCAAAACAGTTTTCTACAGAAAAGGTACACTGTGCAAAACATTGTTCTAATATAGGTATTTTGACACAAAATCGGACATTTTCTGAAAAATGACTGTACAATTGTTTTCCAATTTCAATATATGATCACATTAGGCGAACTACCAGTTTGTAAAAAACACACGAGTAGTTTTTGAAAAATTAGCTCTCAAAATTTTAGTTTCTCAAGGTAAGTGGTGGTAGATATTATTAATCTCTTTTTTCTTAATCGTATTAATCTTGCTATTCACATTTCGAATTCAGGTTCATCCAAATAAATCACCCGTTTCATGATTTATTGTAAAATTTGTATTTTAAAATTTGTATAATTTTTATATTTTTTTAATTGAATTATAATCCATAAAATTTTTATATTTCGAAGCGTACCTGCAAAAAATTAGTTTTTTATTCAAAATTACCGAAGATATGCGTGAATTTATATATTGGCGCGTTTTGAAATTTGGCAAATTTGTTGAAAGCGATAAAACGTCAAATGGGGTTTAGACACTTTGCTAAAATTATTTCAAAATAATAACGATGGGACTCTACCCCCCCGCTCATGTCACAATATAGAAAAAGTAGGAATGAGGTGCCTTTTTTTCCGTTCTGGTACAATAGAAGGGAAAGGAAAATTGGTTGCCGTACATTTAGAAGTTCGTTAAGTGAATTATTATTGACGCAAACTGAAAATATTGCGCCAAGATAAATTTTTGAATTTCTGCGTAAATTTGGCACCAAATCTTACAAAATTTAATATAATTACAAAATTTATTAATAATTTGAGTCGTAGAATCGAGGTATGGAAAATAATTGAGATGTTGTTTCAGAAAATGTCCAATTTGGTGTCAAAATACTTATGTTAGTACAATCTAATACACATCCTAAATCGCGCTTTCGAGACGGGAAAAACGCAATTTGAATTTTGTCGATCGTCCTAGTAGAACGGGAGATATAGAACTCCCCCCTTTTTTTTCCGCAGTGTACATGTGCGAGAGTTAACTTATTGGCCACCGTTAAATTAAATGTGTTCCTATCTTTTACTACATTGTTCTTTTTAAAGCATTGCCGGTGAAAAATGTTCGAAGTGTTATTCTATTTCTTACTTAGTTTATTGAAATAACTAACCTAAGAAACATACTTCTTACATTTAGAAAAAACATTTACCGCAGCCAAAATGAGATGAAAACACATTTTCTTGCTGGAAGTATCAAATTGGCTTATATATCTTCCTAGAGAAAACTGTTTCGCACTTGTTCTATAACTGAAATAACCTGTTCTTTGCTTTTCGTTGAATATAAAATATTTTCACTGCGTAATTGTTCCAAAGTGGGGTCATCTTTACAAAAATTGCGAATTATACCTACGAATTGCAAAGTTTCTTTGCGAGCCAACTCATTGTGACTTTTATTTATTATTGACTCAATACAAATTCATTGATTTCTGTACTTTTATTTATTATTGGCTCAATACAAATTCATTGTTTATCTTCTAAGCTTCATATCATTAAAAGTATCTGAGATTTCAAGAGGCCACATCATATTTAACATCATTTTTTCCCTTGCAATAGTAAAATCACTATCAATTATCCCGCAATTTCCAAAGAAGACGTAAATGATAGTATTCTTAAATTAATGTCAGCTACCCTGAAAAATGCAGGCATATAGTACAGTATCGACAACTTTTGTAGACCAGAAATAAGTTAAATAAAATTTCCTATTAATTATGCGTCGTTGCTTATTTAAGTTTATTTTCGCGTTTATCTGCTGGTTTCAGTTCTATGCATTGTCGGACGTAAGTCAAGAGTTGATCTACATTGTACTGGTGACACAGTTGTAATAATTCTCGGATTCATTTTTACATAATTATCTTTTTTTTTATGTCGTTTCTGTCCCGTTATCCAATTTGATATTCTAAGACCAGTGAAAAGGTTACCTCTCATAATAGTATCTTTCAGAAAAAAGCCTCATCAATCACCGAAGCCGTAGTATACATTGCTGATACAATTATGAGCAACATCAGTAGCTACTCTGATAATCTCTCAGTACTGCATTCTATTCCAATTCGCTCACCAGCGGCCAAGCAGTAGTGTCGTTGAACAATTGGCAGTTCGAATTTAGGCAAACTGACCGGCTGCAATTGTTATCCCATATGTAACGTGGATAAGAACCAGTTTTCCTCAGAAAGCTCTCTTAGGCAGATAGCCACCGGATGATTTGCCGCAACCCAAATATAAATAAACCATCCAAAATCAAACCGATAGATCTGCCATCATTAACAACATATAACATAGCTTCCGGAGATATATTCATAAACATTCAGCTCTAGTAGAACAAATCGTACATTGGAGTAATTAGAAATGGAAACTGACATTGTAGCAAAGTATTTACAGCTCTTCTACATAGGAGAAACTCTACTGATACTTTCATAAGCTCATTAGAGATTTGTAATGTTTCGTTAAGCTTGCAGGAAAAGGCAGGGAGACGTTAATGCTGAACAAGACACCCGGGAATTCCACTAATTGCCACCCATAAATCTTCATTACATAACGGGGCATGGATTATTTCCAGAAAGTTTTGCAGGTTCCGTACATACAAAAGTCAACATACAAACATGTTTCTGCAGAAAGTCGGGAATGCTACAGCATTATCTAACCAAATGTCCTTCCACATTAAGGTATAACTTACACCTTTCCGATGCAAATCAACAAGCGTACTTGTACTTTAGTTACTGTTGTAATAAAAGGCTCTCTAAGCCAGTATAATCAAGATTATGAACATTCTCTGCCAGTACGGGCAAGGACTTTGTGCAGCAGTCTAGTCTACGTACCTGTGCCAGCGAATTTCTTTACACCGGTGTATATGGAACTCCAACCATGGATTACAGTATGCAGACATCATAATATTGAAAACAATGTCAACTAATTCATGTAAACATAGACTAGTATAGTGACAGGTGTGGGAAAATACTTATACAGCTGTCATCACAAAACACTAGTTTTCCCGTCATCTGCCACCTATCGGTTTTGAGCGTAGACCGAAGATCCTAAGTAAAAGAAATTTTTTTGATAGGGAAATGAATGTATGCTGTTTTTAAGCACATATTCACTTTCTGATGTCGAGTTGGAGGGATTTTTTTCATAGCAAAATACGTTAGATCAAAGTTTTATTTTGCAGCATATATAATTAGAGATTACAAATAGCTAGGTATCGTTGTAATAACGAAATAAAATGGTTACTTTCCACTCTAAAACTATTCTATTAATTCGCTTTTGAGAAAGGTAAGCTGTTACAGTTACATTCAATACTTTGAAAAAACATTTAAGAAAAATATCTGAACTGAAATTTAACTAAATGTGCTTCGTAAGATTCGAACGCGTTTGCCCTGTAACCAAAGAGAAAATTTTAAACCAAGTCTGATTTCTTAATCATTCTGCTAATCTTCCCTACAGCACTTCGCACATTTCTGTAATTCGCACGTAGTTTTAAACATCACATCTTGAAAACTACTGTATTAAAATTAGCATTACATTAAGTTTGATTATTCGGTAAATCTTAGAGGTTAGATGCATATGTTTATTTCTTCCAATACGCTACTTATTTTGTTTCAGATAATTTTTGTTGAATGAATTCGTAGGCTTTCGTCTTTAGGGACAAGAGAAATTAAGTATCCGTTATTTAATGTCATTGAAGAAAGTAACTTTCTAGTGATGTTAGATGAAATAATGAAAGAGTTCTTAAAACTTACTGCTAAAAATTTTTGAGGAATTTATATAAAAAATCTACCAGCCTGAACACACACGAATTTTTTTATCACTTATGTTAAGTTTTTGTTTTTGAGTATTTTTGTTATCAATAATAACGTCATATACAACGTGTATATGGTGCTCTTATTTTGTGGTACTTGCAGCTTAGCGTAATCTCTGTTATTCAGAAAAGCTGCTGAAGAACTACTAGCCTTGTCTGCAATAAGTAGGTTCCAAGTATAAAGCTTATCTTTATTTTTTGCTAATATTGAAACTAAAGACCTTTAGGGTAATTTCTTTGTGGACACTCAAGAAGAAATTTCCAATCTATCTAGGAAAGCTACACACTTTAAAGCGAGTACTTTAGGATACAGATTTAATGTATTCCAACGATATTTCATTAGGGAATTTTGAAAGAAATCCAGTAAAAACTTAGTATCAAATTAATCCTTAAAGTGGGAGATTAAAATCCTATTAACTACACTTCTGATAGTTTTTTATTAGCATTTCATTATTTTCTTTACAGCGCTTAATTTAAACTACCTTACTTTGAAAGTTTATTATCGTATACTTTAAAATTTTTTAAAATGTTTTAAGGAGTGCCCGATCTGTTTGCCAAGATTAGATTAAGGCCTGTGAAATAGTGGTATTTGCAGGGCCGTTCCTAGGCCATTGGCTACCCGCGTACTTTCCTAAGTCCTAAGATTGCTGCCTCTAAATTTAAAAAAAAAAATGCTCAATGATTAATAAAATTTTTATTTCATCCTCACCAAGTACTTACATGTTACAAATTGTATAAAACGTACTTGTATATGACAAGCACTTTGAATTTAAAATATTTAGGCTTGGTACCGCGAGAATCCGGCCGCCCCTGATTCTTCCCGTACTCCCTCTTCCCGATAGGAACGGCCCTTGGTATTTGTCCCGTGATTATTTCCTGCGGTCAAGTAGGCTAACTATACGAGACCTTATAGTTCAACTTATGTCTATAGTTCACGCACTGTCTTTGAAGGTCCTTTCCGAAGGCAGCAGTTTCCTAGCCAAGTAGCTTTAATGTGTTTCAACCTAATAAAATAATACAATTCAATCAAGTGAACTCAAACTCCTTGTGTATATAATGCCTTATTCACTCGGCTGACATTTCGAACTACGTCTTTTGTTACTCCAAGACTTTTCAGTTGAACGCCGATAGTTTACCACTTGGACCAAGGAACTTATTACAAGCAGTAGGAGCAGGTTTTAAAGCTTTCTAATACTGAGATCTCGTTTAGAAATCTTTCATTGACTGATGTAATTTTTATCAATAGCTGTTATTTAACTGAACCTATTTTCGTTTCTATGTTAATTCTTATAATCTTCAGCCCTTTATCGAACTTATTTGCTGCAGTACAGGCTTTCTGATTGTCTCTATAACACTTTGCTTCAATTCATTCAGTTCTTATAACATTACCTTCTTCATGCATCTAATGACAACTATCTTTCCTTCATTTAAATGTCACTCGTATAACCGCTACATCTGTATTAATTGCAATAATCTATTATAGCTTTCTGATGAAGTTCTGCATTTCTGTAATCTCCATCTAGCATAGTTGGTTAAATCTTGGTAAGTGCTAAATATTGTTGTTTAAATCTTTATATAATAAGAGATAAACTGCAAAAAGATGTTTTTGATTGATCATATATGGTAAGAACTAGAGTACTCAGTTTTTAAAGGGCTGCAAGAAAGTAAAGCATAAAATCTTTGTTTTAAATTTATTTAACCTGCTATCATTTAAAAAGTTATCAACATTTGAAGCATTGCTGTTATATTATTACTGTTACTATGTTTCTAGTGCTATGTATTATTACATACATCAGTGCAGACTTGTTTAGTTTTTTAACTGAAGCAATTTTTTAAAAGCATGAGATTCTTGAGAAATAAATTACTAATTCAGGGTTTTCCAAATCTTGAGAAGGCAAAAGTTTTGAGAAAACACAATTGTATATAAAGCAATTTGCCTTTTAATTTGAATTATTTTACATTCTAGAAATAGAGTTGATGAGAATTTGATCTTATTTAAAAATGTAACTGGTATTTAAACTTAAATGCCTAATAATTTATTCTTCACAGCCTTGTCAAAATCATGATTAATTATATAGAAGAATATCTGCTTAAATGGATATAAAATATGGCAATTTATTATGCATAAATGGGAGTTGTAAAGTTAGTTTATTGTAGTACTTGCTTGAATTTTCTGATTTCATACATTACGTGAAAAATTGTTAAGTGGACGAAATCTTTACATTTTGCTGTTTGAACACTGCTATTAGATTTTAATATATGACTTTATAATAAATCCAGATTTTTCTAATAGCCATTATAAATGTGTTTAACATGTTTCTATAGAATCAAAAGAACAGAATTTGGGATATTTATTTTCTTGTGGAAAACATATGGTGTCTTGAAATATGTTTGATTGCGGGAATAATTCAGAATTTTGTGTAATGTAATTTGACTTAAGCTAGAACTGAAACACATTAACCACTTGCGCTAAAAAGACATGCCACGCATGTCGAGATGCTTTTGTCTCAAACCGCATGCGACATGAACACCACATCGATAGGCATTTATCGCAAAAGTGAAAATAACGTGGTGCACATGTCGCCTAACAACGAGATTGTTTATTTCTCGAGTTACAGCTCTGGATTGCACTCGCAGATGCAAAGCGGCGTAAATGAGACACTTTACCGCTTGTTATATTGTAGTGCATGTCACCGCAACTGTGGAGTTTCGTCGTAGCGCAAATGGTTAAATTGAAGTAAAGTGATAGGATCTTGAATATATTTAGATAGGATCTTGAATATATATTTAGATGTTGCCATGATTACTGGAGAAGCTAGAGGAGACAATAAGTTGCTTTGAGAGATCTTGATTTGAGATATTTATCTGTTTTAAAGTAACAGAGTCTAATTTATCTTTGATATATGACTTAATTTAGGGTATAAAGACTGATAATACAGAAGAAAAGGAAATACACCTGTAAATTAATCATTTTAATAAGTGTTATTATAACGCACAACTAACAAGGTGAAGCTGCAGCATAGTTAATACCGGACTGCTGTATTTTAAGTGTTTCCTTTTAAATCTCTCATATTTTTATTATCTCTCATCTTTGTTATTATTATTTTCTCTCATGTAATAATTATTCCAGTAAACTGCAGCTCCTGTTCAGCTGTTCAACTGCAGCACTTATTGAGCTGTCACGCATATTAAGCTGTTTGTTATACAGTTTCATGGACATCAACTCCTCTGCCCAAGAATTCCTAAATCTAATAGCAGTGACAAATAATATTCTGGAACTACTGAACAAATTTTCAATGTGGAGGCCCTTCTTCTTTCCTTACAATTTTTAACATTGCATCTCCAAATGGTTTCATCGTTAGCATAAAATTTCATGTTGTGGCCATTTTTGCATACTCGTTTATTAGGTAAAAAACCTCTTTCTTGAAAAATGATATGGCATCTTCCTCATTACTTGGTAAATTAAAGAATGTTAATGTGATATTCACAAAAAAATGCAGTGGATGTATTAAAATAAACAGTGTGAATTCAGAAACCTCATCAGAAAGGAATAATGTAAGAACAGGCTGCAAGAGCAAAAATGCAGCATGGTGCATTTTTGCTCTTGCAGCTAATAATATACGATTATGTGGCGAGGTATAAAAACATGCACCCAAAGCTGATATATGATCGTTTTGTGAAGTGTCAGAACTCGTAGCCAGATTCTGGCAAGAAATCTTAGTTGATTGGCGATTCAATCTTGGGGGTCGCTATAACGAAGAAGTACCCAAATTTCTTTAGTTTGGTATATGACTTTGAACTTCAAAGTGAGACACTAAGCAAAAATATTATAAAGGGCGGATGAATTTTGCCTAGAATCTTACATTTATTTTTTTGCAGTGTCATTTTTCCAATTTAATGCACTTGCCTTGTTTATTAAAATGCTTGTCATTGTAGATACTACTTTCTTCTGTACCATCAATATTTGTGTCTTAAATCAATGATTAAAGTGAAGTAGTGACTTACTTTTGATATACTAAATTGACTTCTATGCTAATTTTAAATGCAAGACTATTTTTAGCATTTTATAATTTATAGGATGTTTATTCTTTCCTGAGAACCATATAGTATTTCATGATGATACTAATGAATGAGAGAATTTTTTTGGGAGGGGAGTTGATATTTCATTTAATTTCAAGCATTATAGATTTCCCTAGCATGTTTTTAAGTAATATAATTGCTAAACTCTGATTGGTAGTTAATGGAAGTTTGAATGCTTTAGGTAATTGTTGATGAATAAATATATTTCAAGGTTGAGTTTTAGATTCGTAAGTGGGATATTTTATAGTATGTTCAGTTTCTTTCTTTTCTTTTTTTTTTTTTTTTTTTTTCTCATTACATGTTATAGGCTTTGAAAATTTAATATGATGTTATATTATTATTTTTTTTTTAAATCAAAACTTGTTTGATATAAAGCTTGTTTGCATGCTGTGTATTTTTCATTATGATTTATATGTTACATGTTTACTCTTTCTAGAAACTGTCTGCTCCAATATCATCTACAGAAGTGTGAAACTTTTTACAATTGTTTATTAAGAATTTCTATCATTTGCCACTTATGTTGCATGTGTAGTAAATTTGTAAAAGTTTCTTTTCCCTGCTGCTTGCATGTGTCATCTGCATTATGCTATTATGATTTTTTCTTAATTTATTTTTTAAAGGAAGAAATGATATATTCCAACTTTCATCATTTGTTGTTATTGTTGCTGGATTTTTCTTTAGTTCTATATAATACACATGAAAAATATTTGCATAATTTTTGCTTTGTATTACTTTCTATTCTGCATCAAGATTAGTCGGAGATTTGCAACTATTTATGCTTAATCTAATATATAGTATTCCCTCGCTAACCTGATAATTAGTGCATTATCAAATTTTTTGTAGTTTATCAAAGATATTTTTTGGGGGGGGGTTCGGGGGGTTACATTCACAAAGTTGCAGTGCAAAAAAACACAGTGAGAATTATTTGTTGTTTTACACAAATTGAATTTTTGATTTTTATTAACTATAGGTATTAATAGGAAACTACATATTGTAACACAAGCCTTTTAATAAAAATGATATTGCAAGATAATTACATTAATTGACAGAGAAATGTCTGTTGTACATACCCTTTTCACATTTAAAAAAAAGTTTTAAGCTAATGGCATTTCAGTATTATTATAGTTATTTTCTTTCTAAGTATAATATGATTTGAAAAACCTAATAACATCTATTTCAACAGTCATTGCAGGAATCTAACTCAAATTTAGGTCTTGAGTGGTGAAAGTGCTACTTGTTGAAGAGTATGATTATTATGGTATCTATCGTGACTTGTCGATGAACTTTGTAAATCAAAATGGAGGTATGTGATGCAAGAATTGTAGTTAAAATTTTTTAGAATTTTCAAATACCTTATATTGCATTTAATTTTTTCATACCTTATTTTTTAAAAGGAATAAGTATCTAAGTTGACACAATTTGGCTGTTGTGTGCCTGTTATTTTTTTCCCTTCTATCTGATCTAAAGTAGTCCTGAAGTCTGGGACTCAAATGAGATTGGCATTATAAATGATGGAAGGATTTTGTTATGTTGCTGCTGTTCCCATTTCTGTTTGTACTGTTTCTTGTTACTGATACTCTGCTAAAAATTTCAAACAAGATTCAAGGTGATGGCCATGCTACTGATACTCTGCAATGAGTAATGCTTTCTTCCAGTCACCAATACCCAGCATTTGGTTTTGTTTCTTGTGTAAACACACACACATATATAAATGTACATGCATGTGCACTCACATACACAACACACAAATTAATATAAAACTGACAAAAGCAAATTGCAAGAATGACTTTGAGAATTATTATCTTGTGCATTTGCTGTTAAAATTGACGTACATTACTTTAAAATGTTAAATTATTACCACGTATGCAAATTTTTTTGAACTAATAAATTACATGATTAAAATAAATGAAAATTAAAAATTAATATGTTGATTTTTTTCACTGCCAGACCTGAACATTGTCAGGAGGTAGGTAGAAATAACACCTATACAATCATCATACCTGGCCTATTAGATGTGTTTCTGTTAATCCCAAATTGGCTGAGGCTTTAAAATGTAATATTTACCATTTTTAAAAACCATTTTTATGTCTGAAAATTTAAAGACTCTATCCCTACATATATGGCCAGCCAGAGAAGCATATATACGATAGTATAAACTACATTCAAAATGAAAATTCAAAGCATCAGAAAATTTCGGTTGGGTCGTATGCATAAAAATGGCAAAGTGGGCAAAAGCAACACTTTTTACAGGAAAACTATAAACACAGTAAATATATAAGTGGTAAATGCAGTCATAAAATTAAGTATAAAGAATCTGGAATTCAATAAACATTAACACTTTCACTGCTGGTCATGTGAGGTTATGTTGATAGTTAATGCTGTGTGATAGAAATAGATTGTACCCATATGCCAACTTTATGAGAAATATGATTTAAAAGAGGTAACAAAAGATTATTATGTCTACCATATTGATTGCTAAGCCTTTAAGCATAGAATTTTATGACTGCACACCAGTGTGTGATTGGCACTAAAGGTAAATTTATTTTTGCAATGCTGCATTAAGCCTGGCACAAGGTATTTAAAAATGAATCAAAATTAGTAACAATAATATGCATTATTTTTGAATGAAACTATGCCACAAACAAATATATATATATATATATATATATTATAAATAAATATGTTATAAGACAGTTACAATGATATTCCTACAAACTAATTCCTGAATGTTATTCGTGTATGGTCTTTGCATGAAATGGAACTTTGTCTTCATTCCAAACTACATACATTGACAACTAGTTTCTAACCTTCACTCCATGCCAGTACCTAGCACATATTTTCAAAACTTAATGCTGATCGGCAGCAAATTTGTTAATCAATATTTCAGTCTAATTACAAAAATCATATGAATCAATTAAAACTTACTCAAGCAGTAGGTACTTCTAAATGAATGTTGGAAAGAATGTGGATGGGAAAATTATCTGAACTCAGAGCAGCCTTTAATCTCGCCAAATAATATTAATGAAATAGTTGCTATAAAAACTTAAAGAAAAACTTTAAAAAATGGAATTCAGAATCTGGCAAAAATTAAGAAAAAGAAAAATAGAACAGACTAACAGCTCTTTGTGTTATTTTGGCTGCAGTGGCAACTTTCAGAAAATTTGAAATGTCCCCATTAGTCAAAGTTACAGCCATAATGGTAGAAATAAAAATACAAATTTACAGTAAATTACATATTTTACAAATTTTACGTACTAAAAGTAGTTTCTCACCCATTCACCTCATTCTTCCTTGCGGTTTAAAAAGGGCTTCATTATGTTAAAAAAAAAATCGCAGTTCATAGATGATACCAGCTTTTTTTCAGTTTTAATTATTTTTAAACATATTTATTAACTTGATTATTGGCGAATGTTTGTGAAAGCAATAGAATTTCTGGTATGTTGACTTCCCTTAAAATATCTTTTATACAAGCTAATTGATTATAAATAGTATTTCCTATAACCTTTTTGGAGATGTACTGTTCCGATTAAGTAGCTTAATAGAATTAAAGTCGAAATCTCTTTTGTCAAGTAATGTGACTTCTTTTGGTAATTAAAAATGTTAAGATCCAGAAAATCGACAGCTGGTCAAACTGATGAATCTCAGTTTGTCTTAAGTTTAAGACAGGAAGGCTAAATATTGCTAGATTTGATGAAGTTAAAATTGTTGAAAGAATGATATCATCAATATATCTATAGAAATCTCTACTTTTTAGTAAATAAGTAAAGGTTACATATTTGAGTAGAATAATTCATTCCCATAAAGATGCCATTAATTTGCAGAAAAGTAGTATCTCGGAACTAAATGTAATTGTGAAAAAGAGAGCAGTGGAGATATACCTTCCAGCTAATAGTATCTAAACTTTTACGTATCTGTAACATTGGTAATTCTAATAGACTGATATAAATTTTTTTCATTGGCTGTGGTGTATAAAGGTTCCCAAAGTCATAGCAATTGATATTAAGTATATTGCTCTTTTACAATTTTAATCACATGATGGTTGTTATAAATGATGCAATTGAAGTGTTTTTCTTTGTTTACATTTTTTAAATTAAGTTTACAAATCTGCGTGAATTTAAGTGAAAAAAATGTAGTCATATCCCTCCTTATAGTTCCTCGTGCCATTAGGAATAAATCTGAACTTGACTGAGCTCTTTTGGAACTTAAGCAGTGCATATAAGTTAGAAAATCTACTGAAATCAGAATTAAGAAATAATTTTAGTGTTCTGTGAAAAGCATGATGTTTATTAAAAGCATGACGTCTGTTGAAAAGCATGATGTTTATTATTAATAATTGCTCTTTTGTTACTTTTAGCAACACCATAAGTAACTGCTTGTTTAAGTTCGCTTTCATAAAGAGAGCTGTTACAAATGATGCTGAAATTATTACCGACTTTGTTTTTAGTTATAAAAAATTTAGCCCTAAGAGTAGAAATTTTTTTTGAGTTCTTGCAAGAGGTAAAAACTTTCAGAACTTTGCTGCTTAGACAGTGCTATTTTGCCATTGTTTAATATATGTTTCCATTCCATAAAGGTTTGAGTAGGTAGGCAAAGCTTGAAGCTGGTTCTTAAAATGAAGTCATCTGTATTATCTTCAACATTTTTAATGCATAATGACTTATTAACTGAGCCAACTAACTGGCGTAAATTTAGTACTCTGTTTCATAAGCTGCCTTAAAAAATAATCTTCCAACTATATCAAAATTACCAGTAATAATGTGTTTATTGGGAGAATCCATACAAGAAGGGGGGGGAAATACATCATTGCAGTATCAAGTTGCTTTTCAGTTCAGTTCCTGATGGTTGGAAAGCCAGTTACTTTTTTTTTTTTTTTTTTTTTTTTGGGGGGGGGTAGTTGAAACAGACGTGAGTCCTGGAATCTGTTGTGGGAAAAGATATTGTGATGTTTTAAACCTTTTTTTTAAATTTATTCTATTGAAGGCAAGATGTAGAAAGTTAATAAGAGAGAAATTCATGGTCATCATCTTTCTGTTACTTTGAAATTTAAGTATAATAAAATCTAATACAAAGTCTTTAATATCAGAAAAATTATTGAAAGTACCTATGAAGTACTATTGAAGTTGTGATAATGTAAATGTGTGCAGTAATGTGACACTTTTTAAAGTGAAATCTCAGAATTAAATAAATTAATGAACTTAAGTTGAAGTTTATTAACATTAACCACTAGTATTTTGTTTGTAGTCTTTTTGCCTCATCTAGTTCTTCTAAGAGCGTTTTTACTGAAAATATTAAATCTTCCATAAGTAGTATGATTAAAATATAAAGTACATTTATTAAGATAAGTGTTAAGTCCCTGTTTTTTAAAATGTGCAGATTTTCTGAAAAGCCTAATTTTTAGATTAGGAATAAAATCTAAAATTTTAATTGAAATATCAGTGAAACTGTGTGTTTTAAAATGTTCTATTTCTACTGTGGCCTGAGAAGTATGAGCTGATGCAAGCAATTCATTTTAATGCGAGATCTGTAGTTGTTTATTCTTGATTGTTTTTAGTCTGTCCTATACAAACCTTACTACATTTGTTACAAGTAATAGAGTAAATACAATTAGATGTTTTTCAGACTGCTTTTTCTCACCAAGTTGGATTAGCTGGTGGGGCATTATGTCTGTCTGTATGTTAAACAATTGGAATTTTTACATTCCTATATTTCAAATCAGCAAGATGATAAAAGTAAAAAGGGGGCTAACCTTAATTACAGTCAAGATTTATGAAGGAAAAACTTGAAACCTCAGTTTTGCCTGAAAGTAATAGATTAATTCAAAATCGGAAAGTCCTTGAATTATTAAAATAAGAGTAATAGGTAATAATAAAAGAATATATTAAGTTGCTTACTCAGATACAAACTAATATAAAATTGAAAAAAGCAAATTGCAAGAATGACTGTCAAACCTAGAACCCTGTGCATTTGCTGCTAAGATTGACATAAATTACTTAAACATGTTAAGTTATAATCAAATAAGTATTTTTTTTAAATAATAAATTGCAAACAAAAGTAATTATTGTATGAAACGAAAAATATAAAAATAGATGCAAATTTAAAAGTTGAATGAATAATAGTCAGTAGTCTTTGGCTGAGAGTGACATCTGAACGAACATTATGTTTTAAATTTTTAACTCTAAAAAATTCAAAAATACATCAAAATTGAAATTGGTATGGTCATTTTATCACTGTCAGATCCGAGCATTGTCAGTAGGTAAGCCTATTGATACAGTTACCTTATCTGACCCAGATTTCTTTCACTCGCATTACTTTCTTTTTTGTTACTTTCAACAATTTTAATCATATCCAGTCTAGCAGTATTTGCTTTTCGTATCTTAGTAACACTAACTCGGAGCAAACCTGACTGTTAATTTTCTGAATCTTGGCATTTTTAATTATCAAGAAGTGAGATTAACTTTTATTCAATTAAGTTAATTAAATGGAGCAGTAACATCTCAAAAAGGCTGTAGAAAATACTATTTATTATCAATTAGTTTGTATCAATAATATTTGCACATAAGTTGAGCAATAGCAACAGGAAATTTTATTACTTTCACAAGTAAGTGGGCAATAATCAAATTCCTAATTATTTTTAAGAAACTACTGAAAAAAAGCTGGCTTCCTCTACAGACTATAAATATTCTTTTACATAATAAAGCCAATTTTTTAAACCGCGAGGAGGAATGAGGTGAATGGGTGAGAAAGTATTTTTATTGTCGTCTATAATAACCTTACTCTGACTTTCCGCCTACATTCTTTTCAGCAGTCATTTAGAAGTAGCTACTGCTTGATAAATTTTAATTAATTCTTCGCCTTTTTTTGTAATTGTATTTTTGTATTTTGATGCCAATTTTTAACATTGTTATAATTCCAGATTGTTTATATTTCAGTAGGCACTTACACAATTGTTTATTGTTTTCTTGCGAGAAGTTTTGTTCACTTTTATACATGTGATCCAACAGGTATTTTTTGATGCCTTGAATTTTTATTTTGAATGTTGTTTATACTATTGTATTTACATTTTTTTAGCAGGCTGGGTATGTAGGGGTAGCGTTTTTTAAATTTTAGAGGTACAAATAATTTTAAAATAATTAATTTTGAATCCTATGCTAATTTGGGATGAACAGAAACATATCTAGTAGACTGGGTATGGTAATTGTATCAGTGTTAAGCTCACATACATCCTGACGATGTTCAGGTCTAACATTGATAAAACAATTGTATTCATTTTTAATTTTCATGTATTTTCTGCTGTTTGAATTTTTAGGTCTAAAAATTAATATTCATTCAGATCTCAGTCTCAAATATTGACTGTTCATTCACCTGCTAAATTTTCATCGATTTATATATTTTTTATTTATTATAATGTATTTTATTTATTATTTAAAAAAATTAATTGCGTTTGTTTTTAAAATTTATTTGAAAAAAATTTGGCTATTTGTTTATAATTTAACTTTTTAAAAATTTATATATATAGTGTATATATATATAATTGTCTTCTTCGCTTTTTATTTTAATTTTTTAACTACGTTCACAAGGTTTAAACTCTACAAGCTAGTAGGTCCTTCCTAAAAATCTTGTATTTTTTTACTAATAGCAAATCGCTATTTATTTTATTTTGTACATTTACCTAACCAGGCCATTATGTATAGTTTTTCTTACACCTTAATGTGTTTTTTCAAGCAGACGCGTCAGGAAATGGAACAGAGAATTGACACTAAAGTTTTTAACTAAGTTTTTTCAGTTAATATTCAAGAAGAGTTTCGTGTACAGTTTCAATTGTCTGTTTCGACGAAATGCGTTATGGAATTAGCTGGATTCGAATATCATTATAAAATTTCCCCTGAAGGGTCGGTAATGAGATTCGAATTGGGCTAATTTACCATTTACCACTTTTTAGTTTTTGTATTTTTGCTTAAGTCTTATATCACACTTTTATTCTATTGTTTAAAGTTTGCCTTACCTTGATCAACATTTCACTTACAATTAGATTTGAATTTTATTTGTAAATATTCTAGTGATAATAATGTTTACACTTAATTGCACTTTATTTTCCGTATGTTAAAATTTGTTTCACTGTAACCGCAGTATCTAAGCTACTTTTTAGCGGAAGCACTAAGAATATTCTTTTAACTTGTTTTCTAAATTTTGCAGCTCAATGCACAAAAGTTCTTGACCACAAAGGTCTTTTTTAATTTGTTCTCCTTTCTTTAGTTTGTTCTCCTTTCTTTAATTATTTATATATATAAAAGTAAATGAAAGACATATTAATATCTTAAAAAAAATATTGTGTGCAGAGCTGCTGTAGGATTAAAAGTAGGAAATAAGTAAAAGTGAACCTACTAACTAACTCTAGCTTAATTTGATGGCATTTAATTTATAGGATGACAAAACTTGAAATGCGGACAGTTTGTCATTCCTTGTCTTCCTGTTTATCTTCATAATTTTTTCTTGCAATTTGTCCTTTTGTCTTGAATTAGGAATTTGTTTGTGTTTGTAATTTGATCCTTTTGCTTTGAATTAGGAAGAATTGTAGAATTAAATATTGTAACATTCAGCTAGGCTTACTGGTGCTCACTTTTTCGTGGCATATACAAATACACATACGAAAAAGTGCAATATTATGTAACAAGAAAGCCATGAACTCCTTATGTTTAATACAGATATTATTTTATATGAAAAAGAAATAATTGCTGCTTAGTTTGACATGTGTAATGTAAAGAAGTCAGTGTAGTGCATTGCCACTGTAAGTGGTGGTAACTGCCGTTCTGTATCCCAGTACAGAAGGGAAATTATGTTCATTATGTATTTGAGGTATGCAACTCGGTAGTTTCGGTATGTTATCAGGTTTCATCTGCTGTAGCTAAGATTGGTCTGTGCTGTGCTATCATGACCAGATGCATTTATTAGGTGATACATCTAGTGAATGCATGGCCTGAGAAAGAACAACAGGCTGCTACACTTCAGATATGTAATGGTGGTTATCCGGTGCAGTGAGAATTGGAAACCAGTGGCATCTTATACCATAATGCTAGATGATGGATTGGTACTCTGATATGTAATGTGGGACTTACTCTGTCTGTCCCTGTTCTACCGTTGGATGGCATCATGGTGCTACAGAGGGGATTCATATGAAAATTTTATATGTCATTGATCCCATCATATGCAATAGTCTAGGGTCTCATAGCAGTCTCAGAGACCTATGATATGCATTCTGAAGTAATGGGTACCTGGCAAAAATTTCCCAGTGGTATGTCAGTGTTCAACTGTATGTGCAGTAACTGGTTGCTTTGCAGTACATCAAGTTTTTCTAATACTTGAGTTGTGGCAGTACTGTCCAGTAATTAACTATGCATATAGTATGTCCATTATCATGGTCTTTCATATGATTCAGCTGTTGTGATTTTTCACTTCATTGAGTCCATTTTTCCTCATGTTTGCATCACTATGCAAATAGTCTATCTTAACACAAATGTTAGTTTCTCAAAAGGTAGTTTTCAGTTTCAATATGCCATAGATTTCTAGCCGTTAAAGTTGGAAATCTTTTTTATGGCAGCCATATTTCTTAACAGGATCTAGTTTAAGCTGCCTATGCACAGGAAGCAATGAAAAACACAAATCCTGAAACTTAACAGTAGCTCTTTGTTCTACCCATGTACAGTGCTTCCAATCAGTATTTCTGAGGTACATAAATGGCATATATGTGTACTGCTATTAATTTATTACCTTTCATGATTATTTGCATATCATGCAATTTTAAGTTGATCTGTTGTATCTTTTCCTATTACTCTGTACATAAAATGCTTATTTTGGAATTAAAATTATGATATGAGTTAAAATTATGTAAGTTACAAACATTAGTTCATAATGTTCATAAATTTCAGATTGGAATGCAGAACTTAGTGTGTGTCATGTAAATGGCTTTATGGAAAAAAAAAAAAAAAAAAAAAAAAAATTTGAGCTGGTTCTAATTGTGTGAGGTTTGATGTAGTGAAGCTTTGCAGTTTCATAGGCCATAATAATTTTAGAATTTGGATTTAACAGCATTGTAATTTTAAAATGATCATTCTTGGAAATAATAATTTATAAATTTTGCATAGATTGAAAAGAGCAAAAAATATTTGTAGTTAGATATGTGAAATTTCTTATATTGTTCTGCAATTCTAAATTATTTTTTCTATTTGAGATAGAACAAATAATTATTGTATTAATGATAATCATGGAAAATATTTATTACCGAATGTATGGGATAACAAGTAATTTGAATCAGTAATTAGTTCAACATATTAGAATGCTAGAAATTAACCATTTTGGGGCACTTAAGAGATGACACATAGGAGACTAAACTGCCAGACAGACAATGAATGAATTGCGTACATTCTGTAATAAGGTTACTGTAGTATTTAAGTTGAAAGGGATCATTGATTTTATGCATATAATTTTAGAATTTCAGTCTTTTAATTTTTCTTGATTTCTGTGATCAGATCTTTTGCTGTTTTAAAGATGATTCCTTAAATTTCTTTAAAGTGTTGTTTAATGTTTAATAAACATTCTACTGCTCTTTTACTGATAAATACTTCTAACACAATATTTTTCCTCTTTTTGTTCTGATAAGCATCAAGAATTAGTTATTGAGTTTCGTAGTATTTGTTTATATATTTTTAGAGACTGTTTTTTTGTGTGAATGTGTGACTACAGCCAAAGTTACCCCCTTCGAATGGCAGGCACTTGCCTTATCAGCATTGGCGACTTCTAAGGCCAGAAGTGGCGACCATTTTACTATGGAGGCTCCTATTAGGTGGCCACCATTGCCTCCTATGAGGGGACAGACAATTTACATCCATGCCTTCTCCGGCATTCGAACCCGGGCTCTTCAGTATCGCAGTTGACTCCCATACCCAGTATACTGCTTGGGCGGCTACTACAGCCAAAGTATGAAAGCTTTTAAAATTAAGTTTTAAAATCGACATCATCTGTAAAAGTCAGCCTATAGTGTGAATTTTTTTATGCAGTGCAGTCCATGAGTTTTGACTTTTCTGTCCTTATTTTGTTTCATGGATTCAACATCCATATATAATGACTTAATGAGTTTTACATATTTCCATCTATTTAGTGCTATTAATACAGATCAACGACAGTGTGGAAAAAAACCATTGGACATTGATAATAGTTTGGTTTTTGATTGGGTTTTATGCGCTATCTGAAATTTACTTTGTACTGGAAAAAACTAGGTTGTTTTCATGGCTATCCATAGGTGAAGCATAAATACAAGCCAGTGTTCCTTTAAAAAAATCCTCCATAATGACTTTTTTTTTTTTTTTTTTGATAGGTAGATAGTCTTTTACATGCCTTGTCATAGCTGCTAGGTTGTAACATATATTTGTCCCAATTTGTTTTTTTTAAATTTCTAAATTTTGTGTTACACATAATGGATTCTGTATGCATTTTGATCAGTTATTTTCGTCCAGTTTTCTTATTGCTGAAATGTACCTTGTTTGTAGAATTCATGGCACTGACCCAATTGATTAATGTAATTAATTTTTTGGTAATTACTTCCTTCCCTCCCTTTTTTTTCCCCCCTATTTTTTCGCCTTTCCCTAAAATTTACTTCAAGTGTTTTTACAGAAATTTAAATCTGATAATTTTAAACCATTAAAAGCATTTTGCAGAGCTATATACAGATAGTACTCTGAAAGCCGAAGATCTGGGTTATATGATGGGTGAACTAAAACATCAGTATAACAATTTTTGCCAAGTCTTCATACAAATATGTAGTTTGTCTATGTCATGGTGGAACTCCAGTACCTATTCTGTTGGCAATAACTGACCTCTTCCTCTCAGTGACTTTGTTCATTTTTTCTGATTATAGGCAGTGTTTAATGGAATAAAAATTTAGCTGGAGAGCAACTTGTATTATATGACTTCTTTCTATTGTCACTAGAGAGGGAGAGAAAAGAATTTTCTTTGGCTGCAAAACAGCCCTTGAGATCACCTGTGTTGGTCGTCTTGGGTTTGACCATCTTTTTTTTTTTTTTTTTTTTTTTTTTTTTTTTTTTTTTTACTAACATTGTAAAGTCTACTTTTCATTTCCAGTGATGAGTTGTTTGAGGAAAAACTAATTTTCATTGCATTTAAGTAATGAAACCTTGCACAGACAAATAACACTAAATTTTTGATTATTCAATTAATGTGCAATGCTGGCCATTAAAATTGCAACACCATGAAGGAAAGCAAATGCGAAAAAGATTGCATGTAAACAGTGTGGTATGAAGACAAAATGATTAAATATGTACGCACATTGGAGTTTACAGGGTTGCAAACTTAGTAGAAACAGCTGCCATACCGGGCAGCTAAAACGGCCTTTAAACCATTAGGCATGGAGCTGAGAATACAGAAATGGACAACTCATTTCATGCTGCTTCATGTCTATGCCACATTTCATCAATTGTATTAGCTGGAGAGAGGTGGCGGGCCAGTCTCTCATTTAGCCATGACCAGACGTTTTCAGTGGGTGACAGATCTGGAGACTGTGCAGGCCAGGGTAGCAATCAAATACCCTGTGTATCGAGGAAGCTCCGAACACGACATGCAACATGTAGTCTTGCATTATCTTTACTATATATTGTTTAGGAATATATGGAATATACTGTTTAGGGGTCTTGAAGATAGGGCACAACCACTGGACGTAAAAAGTCAGAAATGTACCCATCTGCATTGAAATTATCATCCATCCGAACTAGAGATGTGCGTGTCGTGTACCAAATGGCTGCCCAAGCCGTCACACCAGGTGCAGAACCTCTATGTCGATATCAGATGCAAGCAGATGACATGCAGGCTCCTGGGACCCTCCAGACACGTATACGGTCATCAAAATACTGCACATAGAACCGGCACTCATTTGGAAAGGTGACATTGTGCCACTCCTGTAGCCAGCTTTGTCATTTCGTGCACCTGTCGCTGTCTGTCTCTATGCTACTTTGTCAAAGGAAGCGAAGTAATGGTCACCCTCCTGATAGTCCACGCTGCTGCAAACGTCGACGCACCTTATGAGCTGATACTGGGCGTACTACAAACTTGCCCATTTCCTGACTAATGGTCCGTGATGTGGTCATACAGTTTTGCAGGGCTTACCTCACAATATGTCTGTTCTTTCTGGCATTAGTCATGGGAGGGCATTGAGATTTGCATGCTGTTCACTATGATCCTCAGCACTTTATTGATTCCATATTCGCATGACAGTGGTTGGATGTCGACCAGTGCGACCGGTGATATCACAGAACGATAATCTACACTCTTGACAGGCAACGATCCTGCCTCTATCGAATTTTGAAACTTGCAGGTAAGCATTTCCTCTTCTCATCCGAGGATAACATGATATTCTGAGCAAACTCCAACCTTACAAAGCACTTTCCGAATGAGAAATCCACTACATGACTTTTCTTTTATGCTGTGCTTCAGATGTCTTTTCTCCCTCCTGCATCGTCTAAATGTGCTGAAATACTCACGATTTGCACATTCCAACTTCTTCCTTTGACATTCGTCAGATCATTCCTTCCTCATGTTGCAGTTTTAATGGCCAGCAGTGTAGTACCAAAATAATGAGCTTGAAGTCTTTCATATATGACTCAAGACCATAATGGTATTAATATTTAGTGTCTCACCATTCTCACTAGTTATCAAATAAGAGGTGCTATTAATCATCGTTTGATTTTATCCACAGCTGTGGTGACAGGTCATACAGCGCAAAATGTATCTTTGATATGAAAATTTCTTTTATTTATCTCCACCCCATTTTCTGTTTGTTAAATCATCTGCAGCACCAGCCCTATACATGATGCAAGGTAACAAGGATCTCTTTTTCATAATAAAGAAAGGATAGTAAGAAAAATGTCTGTTATTTGTATTACTATAGGGCATATTGATCACAATAAAGCAGCTGGGATCTAAGTTTTAAAATGAGGAATTTTATCCGCTTTAATTGTATAATGGTTAAGGGAAGTGGAAAAATGAGATAAATATGCTACTACCCCATTAATTATCCATATACACTGAATGTACTTTGGCATTTGCTTAAAAATTATTTTCATTTTATAGCATTTCAAAATGTATAAAACAATCCTGACCATGCTTTAATGAAAATATATATGTATATGCATTCTATGTTTATCTCTTGAACAAAACATTAATTAGTTGATGACAATCAGTAAAAATTCAGCTTCAAGAGTAGATATGGCAAAAATCAATATGAGTTTTGTTACCTTGCAGGTATTATTTATTTTGAAGACAGTATTAAA